GTCTGTCCCGCTCTGCCCCCCTTTGTCCCGGGTCCGTCCCAGTCTGTCCCGGGTCTGTCCCGGGTCCGCCCTGCTCTGTCCCCCTTTGTCCCGTCTGTCCCGGGTCTGTCCTGGGTCTGTCCCGCTCTGCCCCCCTTTGTCCCGGGTCCGTCCCAGTCTGTCCCCCTTTGTCCCGCTCTGTCCCCCTTTGTCCCGAGTCTGTCCCGCTCTGTCCCGCTCTGTCCCAGTCCGTCCCGCTCTGTCCCCCTTTGTCCCGTCTGTCCCGCTCTGTCCCTTGTCTGTCCTGGGTATGTCCCGCTCTGTCCCCCTTTGTCCCGGGTCCGTCCCGCTCTGTCCCGGGTCCGTCCCGCTCTGTCCCCCTTTGTCCTGCTCTGTCTCTCTGTCCCGTGTCCGTCCCAGTCTGTCCCCCTTTGTCCCGCTCTGTCCCCCTTTGTCCCGAGTCTGTCCCAGTCTGTCCCGCTCTGTCCCGGGTACATCCCGCTCTGCCCCCCTTTGTCCCGCTCTGTCCCGCTCTGTCCCGGGTCCGTCCCGCTCTGTCCCCCTTTGTCCCGGGTCTGTCCCGGTCCGTCCCGGCTCACCTGGCGCGATCCTGCCGGGCCAGTACGCCAGGGCGGGCTCCCTCATGCCCCCCTCGTAGGTGGTGCCCTTGCCACAGCGGAGGTGGCCGGCGCTGCCGCCGCGCGCCATGCGCAGCGTGGACGGGCTGGGGACAAGGACAGCTGTCACCCGGGCCAGGCCGGTGACACCGGGACCTGCCAGCCCCGGGGCGGCCGGGCTGTGACACACCCGACAGGGACACGCACAGCGGGGCCACCCACCGAGGGACATGGGGGCTTTGGGGTGTCACACGCCTGGCACAAACCCAGTCCAGGTTTGTCTTGGGTTTGTCCCCGGTTTGTCCCGGGTTTGGTCCCGGTTTGATCCCAGTTTGTTCCCCGATTTGTCCCAGTTTGTTCCTGGTCTGTCCCAGGGTTTGTCACGGGTTTGTTCCCGGTCTGTCCCGGGTTTGTCCTGGTTTCTTCCCAGGTTTGTCCTGCTTTGTCCTGGGTTTGTCCAGGTTTGTCCCGCTTTGTCCTGGGTTCGTCCAGGTTTGTTCCTGGTTTGTCCCAGGTTTGGTCCCAGTTAGTCCCAGTTTGTCCCCGATTTGTCCCAGGTTTGTTTTTGGTCTGTCCCAGGTTTGGTCCTGGTTTGTCACGGGTTTGTTCCCGGTCTGTCCCGGGTTTGTCCTGGTTTGTCCTGGTTTCTTCCCAGGTTTGTCCCGCTTTGTCCTGGGTTTGTCCAGGTTTGTCTTGGGTTTGTCCCCAGTTTGTCCCAGGTTTGGTCCCAGTTTGTCCCCACTTTGTCCCAGGTTTGTTCCTGGTCTGTCCCAGGTTTGGTCCTGGTTTGTCACGGGTTTGTTCCCGGTCTGTCCCGGTTTTGTCCTGGTTTGTCCTGCTTTGTCCTGGGTTTGTCCAGGTTTGTCTTGGGTTTGTCCCCAGTTTGTCCCGGGTTTGGTCCCGGTTTGTCCCCGATTTGTCCCAGGTTTGTTCCTGGTCTGTCCCAGGTTTGGTCCTGGTTTGTCACGGGTTTGTTCCCGGTCTGTCCCGGGTTTGTCCTGGTTTCTTCCCAGGTTTGTCCCACTTTGTCCTGGGTTTGTCCAGGTTTGTCCCCAGTTTGTCCCCAGTTTGTCCCGGTTTGTTCCGGGTTTGGTCCCAGTTAGTCCCAGTTTGTCCCCGATTTGTCCCAGGTTTGTTCCTGGTCTGTCCCAGGTTTGGTCCTGCTTTGTCCTGGGTTTGTCCAGGTTTGTCTTGGGTTTGTCCCCAGTTTGTCCCGGGTTTGGTCCCAGTTAGTCCCGGTTTGTCCCCACTTTGTCCCAGGTTTGTTCCTGGTCTGTCCCAGGTTTGTTCCCGGTCTGTCCCGGGTTTGTCCTGGGTTTGTCCAGGTTTGTTCCTGGTTTGTCCCGGGTTTGGTCCCAGTTAGTCCCAGTCTGTCCCCGATTTGTCCCAGGTTTGTTCCTGGTCTGTCCCAGGTTTGGTCCTGGTTTGTCACGGGTTTGTTCCCGGTCTGTCCCGGGTTTGTCCTGGTTTCTTCCCAGGTTTGTCCCACTTTGTCCTGGGTTTGTCCAGGTTTGTTCCTGATTTGTCTTGGGTTTGTCCCCAGTTTGTCCCGGTTTGTCCCGGGTTTGGTCCCAGTTAGTCCCAGTTTGTCCCCGATTTGTCCCAGGTTTGTTCCTGGTCTGTCCCAGGTTTGGTCCTGCTTTGTCCTGGGTTTGTCCAGGTTTGTCTTGGGTTTGTCTGCCCCAACCCCTGGGTGACATCTGGGGGTGTCACATTGGTGACCCAAGCCCTGGGTGACATCTGGGTGTGTCACACACCTGCCCCAACCCCTGGGATGTTTCTGTCACAGCACACCGAGCTCACACCCCGCGTCCCCTCCAGAGCAGGACCCGGGGTGACGCCTGGCGCTGCCACACGCGTGCCGTGCCAGCCGTGCCAGCCGTGCCAGCCGCTCACCCGTTGTCCGAGGTGACGAACACCAGGGTGGAGTTGTCCAGGCCGGTGTCGCGCAGCGCCTGCAGCAGCTGTCCCACCGAGTCGTCGAACTCGGCCAGCGCGTCCCCGAAGGGTCCCCGGCGCGTCCTGCCCGCGAATTCCCGGCTGGCGAACTGCGGGTAGTGCGTGTGCTGCCAGGGGAGAGGGCACCGGATCGACCCCCGCCGGCGACCCCCCCGAGGTGACAAAAGCCACCAGCCGGAGGAGGTTTGTCCCCGCGTCTCAGCGCTGGCACAACGGGAGCTCCGGGGTGAGTTTTCCTCGGGGGTGGCGCAGGGAAGAGGGGAAAGCTGCAGGGAGCAGCAGCCTGAAAGCAGCACCCCAACAGGATCGGCAGGAGCAAGCCCAGGTCACCCAGGAGCAGATTTTGGGGGGGCACGAGGGGAGACGCTGCCCTGTTCTCCCCATGGGACTCGGGCTCCCTTCCCTTCCCTTCCCTTCCCTTCCCTTCCCTTCCCTTCCCTTCCCTTCCCTTTTACTGTCCCTTTCCCTCTTCCCTCCCCCCTTTTCCTTTTCCCTTTCCCTTCCCCTCCCCTTCCCTTTTTCCCTTATCTTCCCCCTTTTTCCTTCCCTTTCCCCTTTCCTTTTCCTCTTTTCTTTTTCCTTTTCCTATTTCCCTTTTCCCTTCCCCTTCTCTGTTTCCCTTCCCCCTTTTCCCTTCCCTCTTTTTCCTTTTCCCCTTCCCTTTTTCCCTTCCCCTCCCCTTTTTCCCTTCCCTTCCCCCTTTTTCCTTTCCCTTTCTCTTTCTTTTCTTTTCCCTTTTCCTGTTTCCCTCTTCCCTTCCCATCCCCCTTCTCCATTTCTCTTCCCCCTTTTCCCTTCCCTCTTTTTTCTTTTCCCTTTCCCCGTTCCCTTCCCTTCCCTTCCCTTCCCCTTTTCTTTTCCCTTTTCCCTCCCCTTCCCTATTCCTTCCCCTTTTCCCTTCCCTCCACTCTTTTCCCTTCCCTTTTCCCTTCGCTTCTCCTTTCCCTTTTCCCTTTTTCCCTTCCCTTCGCTTTTGCTTTTCCCTTTTCTTTTCCCTTTTCCCTCCCCTTCCCTATTCCTTCCCCTTTTCCCTTCCCTCCACTCTTTTCCCTTCCCTTTTCCCTTCGCTTCTCCTTTCCCTTTTCCCTTTTCCCCTTCCCTCCCTTCTTTTCCCTTCCCTTTTTCCCTTCCCTTCGCTTTTGCTTTTCCCTTTTCCTTTCCTTTTCCCTTCCCCCTTCCCCCTTTTCCATTTCCCCTACCGCTTTTCCCATTTCCCTTTTCCATTTCCCCCTTTTCCATTTCCCTTTTCCATTTCCCTTACCACTTTTCCCATTTCCCTTCCCCTTTTCCCTTCTGCCTTTTCCCTTCTCCCTTTTCCATTTCCCCTACCACTTTTCCCATTTCCCATTTCCCATTTCCCTACCCCCTTTTCCCTTTTCCCTTCCCCCTTTCCCCTTTCTCTTCCCCTTTTCCCTTTCCCTTCCCCTTTTCCCATTTCCCTTCCCCTTTCCCCCCTTTCCCCCTTTCCCCTTTCCCCCCTCGTCTCTCCCGTGCCCATCCCGTTTCCCGGCCCGCGCCACCGCACGTGGGACGCGTAGTAGAGCAGGAAGGGCAGGCGCAGGCGGGCGCAGCGGGCGATGAACTCGCGGCAGAAGCGGCCGTAGAGCGGCACCAGCTCGGGGAAGGACACGGGCTGCTGCACGATGCTCTGGTTCCAGAGCAGCGGCACGGCCACCACGCCCTGGTCACACGTCCCGAAGCACTTGGTGTCGGGGGGGAAGCACGTCAGGTTCTGGCAGGGGCCCTGCGAAACACGGCGGGCTCGGCTCGGCTGGGATTCCGCCTCTGGATTTGTTCGTTCATTTAATATTTTTTCATTTTCAGATTTAAAATATTATTTTTTTCTATTTTTCTAGGGTATCTACAAATTCATTTCCCGCACTGAGCTTCATATTAGGGGGGTGGTGACTCTGTGCACAGAGCAGGGAGACAAAACTTACAATTAAATTAAAATCGTAAAAAATTAAAAATAAAGAACGAATTCACGGCCAAGAACTCCATCCCATCCTGCAGACGGCTCCCCCCGCAGCAGCCCGGGGGCTCTGCCCACCCCAGAGCCGCCGGCTCCGCTCTGTCCCTGCCCCGCTCTGTCCCTGCGCACAAGTGTCCCGGGACACCGCGGGTTTGTCCCCCCATCCCTCCCGGGACACCGCGGGTTTGTCCCTCCATCTATCCCGGGACACGGCACGGGCAGCGGGACACGGGACAGACCGGGACACCGCGGGGGCAGCGCCGCACAAGTGTCCCGGGACACCGCGGGTTTGTCCTTCCATCTATCCCGGGACACCCCAGCTCCACCCCGCCCGTTTATCCCGGGACACCGCAGGTTTGTCCCTCCATCTATCCCGGGACACCGCGGGTTTGTCCCCCCATCCCTCCCAGGACACCGCAGGTTCATCACTGCCGGTTTATCCCGGGACACCCAGCTCCATCCCGCCCGTTTATCCCGGGACACCGCGGGTTTGTCCCCCCATCCCTCCCGGGACACCCCAGTTCCCTCCCCCCCGTTTATCCCGGCACACCCCAGCTCCACCCCTCCCGTTTATCCCGGGACACCCCAACTCCACCCCCCCGTTTATCCCGGGACACCCCGCTCCCTCCCCGCCGCGGGGCCGTACCGGGCCGGGCTGCAGACGGCGGCGCTGCTGTAGAAGTCGGTGAAGCGCAGCCCGCGGGCCGCCAGCCGGTCCAGGTGCGGCGTGGCGGACGAGGGGTGCCCGTAGCTGCCCAGGTCCCCGAAGCCCAGATCGTCCGCCAGCACCAGCACGAAGTTGGGCCGGGCGGCGGCGGCGCGCACGGGCGGCGGCAGCACCAGCAGCGCTAGGAGCGGCAGCCAGGGGAGGTGGCGGCCCCGCGGCCCCATGGCGCTGCCCCGGTGTCCCCCCGGTGTCCCGGGAATGTCCCGGGATATCCCCGAGCGCTCCCCGGGCGGTGCCGGCAGTGCTCCAGCCGCTCACGTGGTGCGCATGGCGGCCACGCGGCCGCGGGGCGTGCTGGGAGTTGTAGTTCCGAGCGGCGGTGCCTGGCACGGCCTGGAATGGGAGTGCCAGGGAGGGACGTGGCAGAGCAGGGGTGGCCTCTGGGCAGCGAGGGAATGTCCCCAGCGAGGAGGCTGCACCGCGCTGTGGTCCCCGTTCAGGGCCGGGCGCTGCCCAGGGCAGCTCTGCCTCCTGTGCAGGGGAATTTCTGGGATTTGTCCCTGCCCGCTCCTCTGGTGCCACTGCTGGGATCCCAGGAGCAGAGCCTGGACCTTGCTTCTACAGCAGGAGCTGGGATGGGTCCCACAGCCTCAGAGGCACGAGCTGGTGACAGAGGGGACACCCCGGGTGGCAGCAGCAGCAGCAGCTCAGGGTGGCACTTCCAGCAGCCCCACAGGAGCCCGGCATGGCAGCTCCAGCTGTCCCCGTTGCTGTCCCTCTCAAGGGCTTTTCCCGGGACTGGCACAGCCCAGGCTCTGCTGGGGAGCCTGGGCTGGAGAAGTTTCTCCCTCTCCCCAACTCAGGCCCATCCTCCCCTCCCCGGCTCCCCCTCATCTCCCCCAAACCAGGCCCACCCCCACCCTTTTCCCCCCAGTTCTCCCATCCCTGTTTTTCCCCGGAGACTGCACTGGACACGGTGGCTAAGTGGGAACTGGAACAACTCTAATTGAAGCACAAAGTGGGTTCCCCCTCGGGGCGGGCGCGGGGCTCAGCGTGGGCAGGGCACAGCAGCCCTGGGCACCGGGGCTGAGCTGGCCCCGCAGCCACGGCCCCGGCTGGGAATGCTTGCCAGAACTGGATCAGCTCATCCCGCTGCTCAGGCTTTCTCTCCCTTCAGGAACTGCAGCAGCTCCAGCAGCAGGTTCAGGAATTTCCCCAGGATCTGTTGTTGGAAGGAAACTTTCGTGTAATCCTCCGAGTCCTCCGGGTTGGGATTCTCCTCGTCCTCCAAGTCTGCCTCGGGCTCTTCCTCCGGGCTCAGGAAGGGCTCGGGTGGAGGAGCGTCGGCTTCTGGTGGGAGCAGTCCCATCTGCACCTGGATCCAGGTGTGGAAGTGCTGGGTGGCTGTGAACACCCCGGGCCGCTTGGCCCCGGCACAGCCCTTGCCCCAGCTGGCCAGTCCCACCAGCCAGAAGTAGTCACCAACGTTGTCCTTGCAGACCAGGGGACCCCCGATGTCCCCCTGTGACAGGAGAGAGGGGTCAGGGGCTGTGCCAGGCCGGGCCCTGCCCATCCTGACCCCTCCAGAACTTTGCTCCTGGCTGGATTTCCATGGCAAGGCTCAGCTCTGGGGCTGGGGCCTGCAGGCTGGCAGCGGGAGGGGGCTGGCTCAGGGTGGGCTCTGCAGGGAACGGGAGCTCTGGGACATCCACACCTGGGGCTGCCGGGAGCACAGGGTGGGCTCTGTGGGACAGTGCCAGCCTTGGGGAAAAGGGGACACAGGGCAGGGACAGGGATGGGGAAGGGACACCCGTCAGTGCTGGGGACACGGGGCTGGGAGGGCACCGGGCCAGGCCCAGACAGAGCCAGGCCTTGCTGGGCTCAGGGTCCCCGTGCTGCTCTGGGGGTTCCATGGCTGGCTCAGGGTCCCCGTGCTGCTCTGGGGGTTCCATGGCTGGCTCAGGGTCCCCGTGCTGGCTCTGGGGGTTCCATGGCCGGCTCAGGGTCCCTGTGCTGGCTCTGGGGGTTCCATGGCTGGCTCAGGGTCCCTGTGCTGGCTCTGGGGTTCCATGGCTGGCTCAGGGTCCCTGTGCTGGCTCTGGGGGTTCCATGGCTGGCTCAGGGTCCCCGTGCTGGCTCTGGGGGTTCCATGGCCGGCTCAGGGTCCCTGTGCTGCTCTGGGGGTTCCATGGCCGGCTCAGGGTCCCTGTGCTGCTCTGGGGGTTCCATGGCCGGCTCAGGGTCCCTGTGCTGCTCTGGGGGTTCCATGGCCGGCTCAGGGTCCCTGCCCTGGCTCTGGGGGTTCCATGGCTGGCTCAGGGTCCCTGCCCTGGCTCTGGGGGTTCCATGGCTGGCTCAGGGTCCCCGTGCCCAGCCCCGGGCCCAGCCCCACCTGGCAGGTGTCGATGCCGCCCCGCGGGTACCCCGCGCACAGGTCCTGGGGGTGCACGGCCCCCCCGTACCAGCGGCTGCTGTTGCACAGCTGGACGTCGATGAGCCGCACCTTGGCCTCCTGCAGCACCAGGCGTGGGCTGGGGGCTGCGGGCACAGAGGGCACTGAGCGTGGCCCCGGGCAGACCCCGCGGGGCTGAGCCCAGGCCCGGGCCCGGCCGAGCCCCCGCGGAGCCCCCGGCCCGCCGTGTCCCTGTCCCCAGAGCCCGGGCGGGCACTGACCGCTGTCCGGGGTGGCTCTCCAGCCCGCGATGTAGCAGGTTTTCAGCTTGGGCACTGCCAGGGAGCTGTCGGGCACGCAGCCCAGCTGGATGTAGTCGCTGCACTCCACGGGCTGGTCCAGCTCCAGCAGCGCGATGTTGTTCCTGGCCGTGGGCTCGTCGTAGTACTGGTGCACCAGCAGCCGCTGGATGTGGCGCAGCTGGGCCTCGGGGCCCGGCTGGCTCAGATCCGTGGCCCCGATCACCACTTCCCACCGGGAAATGTCCCTGGGGAGCAGCAGATGGACAGAGGGGTGACACGGAGCAGAGCCGGAGGCTGCAGCAGCCAAATTCCCTTCCTGCACTGGGCACCTGCCTGTGCTGAGGGGACACCCCTGATCGTCCTGTGGGGACATCCCTGACCCTATTCTGGGGACACCCCTGCCCCTCCTTTGGGGACACCCTCGCCCCTCCTGTGGGGACACCCCTGTCCCTCCTGAGGGGACACCCCTGTCCCTGCTCGTCCTTACCCGGCCCTGGCGAAGCAGTGTGCCACCGTGAGCACCCACTGGGGGTGGATCAGTGCCCCCGAGCACATGTGCCACGTGCCGTTCTCCCAGGTGGCCTGGACGCTGATGACACCAGGCCAGGCGCCCGGGTGGACCTCAGAGCCACCCGTGTCCTGGGAGGAGCCATCGGAAGATTCCAAGGATTCGTAGTCGTTGTTCTGGGAATATTCAGCAACCACGGAGCTGTGGTCGAAGGCCATGGGCCGCAGCCCGCAGGTGCCTCTGGAAGCACAAAGCCATCAGTGCCCCGCTCGGGGACAGCAGGGACAGGGACCCCGAGGGGCTCCTCTGTGCCCAGGCTGTGCCAGGGAAGCCCCCGAGTGTCCCCGAGCCCCCCGGGGCCACTGACCTGCAGGTGTCCCAGGTGGCCCCCAGGGGCCCGGCCAGGGCCAGCAGGACGAGCAGCCCCAGCAAAGCCATCGGTGCCAGCGCAGGTGGCAGAGCCAGAGCGGAGCTGTCACCTCTGGTGCCAGCGGGCCGGGGTGACGTCACAGAGTGGCGGAACCTTGGAACGCTTGGGGTGGCAGGGACCGCAGCGACCGCGCGCTGCCACCCGTGCCAGCCGTGCCACCCATGCCAGCCGTGCCAGCCGTGCCCCCCGTGCCACCCGTGACACCCGTGCCACCCGTGCCACCCGTGCCAGCCGTGCCACCCGTGCCAGCCGTGCCACCCGTGCCAGCCCTGCCAGCCATGCCACCCGTGCCACCCGTGCCAGCCGTGAGCAGAGGGGATGTCCCAGATCCAGGGATCCCAGCTGGGACCGAGGGCACAGCAGGAGCTGGGATGGGTCCCACAGCCTCAGAGACACGAGCTGGTGACAGAGGGGACACCCCGGGTGGCAGCAGCAGCAGCAGCTCAGGGTGGCACTTCCAGCAGCCCCACAGGAGCCCGGCATGGCAGCTCCAGCTGTCCCCGTTGCTGTCCCTCTCAAGGGCTTTTCCCGGGACTGGCACAGCCCAGGCTCTGCTGGGGAGCCTGGGCTGGAGAAGTTTCTCCCTCTC